CGGGTGAGTTGACTGTGAACTTGTACTAAAGCGTGCTCTGCTGGCGATTCCTAGGGTGTGCAGATTTATCTTCTCTGCATTTACTTAACCCGGCAGTGAACTGCGCGGGCGTCATTTGTTAGGCGATGACAGACTTCACCTCCAGCAAGGGCTGCTTCACAAAATCGCAATAATTATCTAATAACCTTCATAACAAATATTATTATTGAAAAGACTGGCTTGTGGGGAGGGGATCTGGTGGGAGAAGAACAAATTTATTGTGAACAACACCAAACAAAACAAACCTGGGCAGACCTTCAAGTTCTGGGGCTTAGAATGGCTGGGGCTGTGGATCCCCTCCCCTATGTGGGTGGGAGCTTAGGCTGACCCCCTCAGCACTGCCTGGGAGCCCCGTTTATAGTTTTGCCATTGACTAGAAGGAAATTCCTCCTTAGAAACCAAAGGGATGGAGCCCACAATGCTCTGCACTCTCCATGGTGGGCAAGCCATGGACAGACCCCAGCCAAGTCAGGGGAGAGGCTGAGAAGGGCATCTTTTAAGCTAAAAAGATTGTTTTCCTCCTTAATTGTCCATCTTTTAAGATGTGATTTGCTTTCCACTCACTAATTATTTCAATATAGTCCTCTCAGAATCTCAGCAAATGAACAGGACTCTATTTTTGGTAGGAAATTCTGTCTTGCTCTCCCAGAGCCACCAACAATGAAGCAGGGGAAAGAGCAGGAGAAAAGGAATCTTGGCATAATGTTGTGAAATTAGACCATGGAAACCCTAACAAACCCCTAAGTAAGTGTGACCAGAAGCTTCCTGTTGTATTTATAGTTCAGAAATATTGTCTCTTCAGCTTGTGGGAACAAACGAGCCCCCCGCACATTGCCGCTGAGAAGGAGCACACACACGCACTTCTGCCACCGGCTGAGGCTGGATGTCTTCATAAAGCCCTCAGTGACAGACATATTTTTTCTTAGAAAGTTCCTCTGCAAGAACAACCCAAAAGAATCCACAAAAGAAATAACTTATCTACAGAATGAGCAGAAAACCAGCCATCCTCTTTATTATGCTTTCTATGAAAATAGGAAGAAAGAAAAAAAATCCTCCAATAACGTATAGGTCTGACTGCATGATGTATTTTTAAAGTCATTTAATTCCATGTGGCCATGTGGGTTTGCCTGCTCTCTTAAATTCTACTTAAGTTTTGTGAAGATTAAAACAGACAGAAATAAGCAAGCTGACAATATTTACAGCCTGTAATTTTTCTCATTCCTTGGAAAGATTCTCTATGTTCTGTGGTGCTGGATATGACTTCAACAGGCTTTCTGCTCATTCCCACACCCCAAGGTGGAATATGGCCATGAAGTAGTGTGGATATTTTCTGTGTAAGTTACTCAAACTAAACTGGCAGAATCCCTGTCACTTTTTTTTTTTCTAATTTCAATCACCAAGAAATCACTCAAGCAAGATCACCAAATGAGTAACTAAAATGGAACCCTAACCCAATATTTTCAATAAGGAGCCCACAATTCAGAGCAGCAAAAAAAGGAATCCAGTATTCTCACAGACACATAACATTATAAAAGAGAACCCATACCCATGTAGAGTTTATGTCCTTGTTCCCACTAAGATGTGGACACATCTTCTCGATTGCTGAAGTACCAATGTTTACTTTAATAGGTTACATACAATTACTTCAGGATTCTTCACCTTGCCACTATTCATGAGAAGTAGCACTTGTGGGAGGGTTTCTATTTTTCAAAAAAAAACTTTCTAGGTTTTGCTTTCTGGACCTCTGACTTTGGGGACATCTGTTGGACTTATGTTGAGTGTAGGTGGCCTCTGCACAATAAAGTTTATTGAAATTCCAAATCTATACTTTCAATTTTTTCACTTTAAGCACTTAATAGGTATCTTTGCCAATTAATACTTGCTGAAAACTGCCCAGCTCCTAAGGAGAAAAGCAGATCCTATTTTTTGTTTCATTTCTGAATGCAGTAGGAGAATTTGGCTTAATTCCTAAAATAGGATTGAGGGAAATCTACTGGGTCCCTTGTGGGTACCCATCCAGAAAAAGATCCCGGGACAGGCCACAGTCCCCAGGCACTGGGCTTGGGTTTTGCCATTGAAGAATATGGGGGGTTGGGGCCAGAAGGGGTGACTGGGGCCAATATGGAATTGTACCCAGGATAAACTTATTTCACCTTACTTCACCCATTGGTGCAATTTTGGAGATTGTTCTGGAAATCATAGATTATGTAAATTTCCTGGGATCAAACAGAAAGAGCAGCTAACAAAAGAAAGGCGGAAATCTACTGACAAAGGACCAATTTCTTCCCTAAACTACCGTTTATGATGTGTCAGGAAAAACAACCTAATGGCTCTGGGGACTTTTAAGTTGGGCATTGAAGACACCTCAATTTCCCCCCAAAACTTTAGAGCACAGTTTGGAACAGAGAATTCGCCTGCATGTTGAGGGGGAGTGAATTTCTCCAATCTTAATGTTATCTAGGGGGCCGCCTAAGGTGCCTTCTGAGGGTCCTGTGCCTAGATGTTTTTAATTCTACAAAGAAGGAGAGGAAAAGGAAAGAAGAGAGGGAGAAGAAAGGCAAAGCGGAAGAAAAGAAAGCGCTTTAACCCCTTTCAATTAGCCTGGGGATTCAAAGACTAAAGTTAAATCCGGCCATAAAGTTTATTGCTTCAGACTCACAGGCGGGTGAGAACAGTCCCACCGAAATAAAAAGAACGTGCAGGCTAACAGGGTTCAGGGCCTGGTCCCGGGTGCGGGGGAGGGGGTGCTGAACACCCCCACACACCAGGGTGGGGACCCTTGGTCCTCAGGGTCCAGTGGGCGCTAGCAGCCCAGGATCCACCTTGCAACCCGGGAGCCCAGGCTGGAGGTGCAGCCCCCGCCTCGCCGGCCTCTGCCACCCTCCTACTCTCGCGAGCTAGCCTGAAACCCAGCCCCGAAGGCCGCTGCCTCAATTCAGCCCTGCCAGATGACCCCGGCCCGCGAAGACATATTGCCACAGCCCCGTAAGGAATCCCGCCAGAGTCCGCCTCGGCCCTGCCCGGGCCTTTCTTTCAAACTCCTGAGCGCAGCGCGGCCTCGGCGCCCGCGGCCGGCGCCCCCCTGTCTCCCAGCCCCCACCCCAGGGCTCCGCGACCCCCAGGAGCCGGCCCCGGCCGGCCCAGCAATTGCGCGGGGGACTGGGGATGCGGCCTTGCCAGGTTCCCACACACAGGCCCATTCGCACACAAAAAATCATCTTTTTGCACGCCGGCGGGAGCAGCGGAAGTCATTAACATCCGCGGTTGTGCAGCAGTTAAAGTTAGGCCTGGGGATGCGGCGCGGCCACAGGCGCTGCTCACCCTGCTGCCTCCGCAGAGCTGGTTCCTGCCGCTGCTCTTTTGGGCAGAGGGAAAGTTTGCTCTGCCTTTTCGAATTCAGAGGCAGCCTCAGAGTTATTGAACCAGAGAGAGAGAGAGAGAGAGAGACAGAGAGAGAGAGAAAGTTTCCAAAGTACAAATAAACTTGAAAGCGCTCAGGAGGCGAGCTTACCTTAACTCGGAGGGAGCCATTTTTCAGAGTTTTGAGAACTTGTGGTTTGGACACTTCTGGACCTAAAATTGACAGTTTGAATGGCCAGGCGGCACACGTAGCCTGCAAAAGAGTCAAATGGAGTCCAGCGTTAGTGAGATTATATGTTATGTGGTATATAATGTTGGATGTCAACTCCCCAAAACCATAAAACTTACTTTAATGGCCCCACGTGACGTTTTATAGCCAGTGAGCCGATCTGTCTGTGCTATGGATGATTTTACGATCTAATTCATAGACAAAACCCTATTCATTTGGCACCCAAATGTCATATAGCCGGAACTGGGGCTTATAAAGTTTACTGTTTTATAACTTTTAAAAGGAAAGACGGCATCAGTGTAAGCAGTCGGTAAATGTGCAAATCTCTAGTTGCGCTTTAGCTGCTCTGAGGAGTTTCCCAATCGAGCTAGGATGGGGTAAGTACCTTCCATTTGTAGCAAATTGATAGTAGCAAAAGAAGCCAACTGGGTCCAGGATGAAGAGTGGGGAAGGGGTGCTGGGATGGGTTAAGGGCAGAGGGTTTGGGGTCCACAGCCAGACAGAGCAGCGTCTTCAGCAAGTGGAGGCCTAGGACAGCCTTAGGAAAGAGGCAGGATCTGTGTGGCCTGAGGGTGGCTAACAAAGCCCTGGGCTTTTTCTCCTTTTTTCTTGCTCTTTCTCTCTTTTTTTTGTACCCAGCAAGTTAACTTGGTTTCCTCAGAGATGGGCATGGTGGCCTGGAGCTTTGGAACCGCCTACAGCTTTTTCCACCTTCTGCCCTGAACTTTGTGATGGGTCAGAGTTAGGGAAGCGATGGGCCAGTCTTGGTATGAGGTCTCCCTGCACAGGTCATCTGCTCAGGTAGCCTCAGACCCAACGGTTTCCAGGACTGGACAGACAGACAGAAAAGCAGACAGAGCCACTCACTATTTGGCACAAACCAGACCAAATGAACTTACAATAGAAAGTTTATTTTTTGTTCCAGTCAGTATTTTTTCCTTAAAAACAAATACAAAAAAAAAAAAAAAAAAAAGCTGATCACAGTTTGCTTAAAACAGACAGACTTGGACAATATTTGTAACTTTGTTCACAAAAACATACATCACTGAAGCTGCGCTTATAAGAGCCACTTCCAGAGTTCGTGCAAAGGGTCCTACAAAGGCACGCAGGGACACACCGCTTGGAGTCACAGTTTTCATCACAGAGTCACTATTCACTACACGTCGAACAGGTTGTGTCTCATCAAGTCACCTCTACAACAGCATTAATTACACAAGGAATATAGGTAGTTTGAATAAAAATATCTTTAACAGCTTGGAGCTATTGAGACAGGAACACTTCCACGCACATGCACAGTTAAACAACTTGAGTGCAACACACAACATTGGCACTAAACGAGATTGAAGGGGGACTTTTTGTGTGTTTTTTTCTCTTTTTTTGTTATAGTTACTTCAAGTAACACAGCTTGCTTCATATAAATAAGTTAAAACATCTATTTTTTTTTTTTTTTCAAGACAAAGCCATTCAGGACAAAGAGATGAACAGAAAGCAGATCTACTTATACAGGCGCTATAATGGCAATAAACAGGCTCATGATTAAAAGATGAATTAGGGCAAAGAGAACAGGGCTTCTTCACAGAAGGAACACAAGGGAGTTTCAGAAAGTCACCTTAGTACTGACACTACGCGGGATCCGCTAATACTGCTCAGTACTTTAAACGCTCAGATACTCAGGGACGGAAGGCCCCTCCTGCCGCGGCCATGCTCATGCTTTTCAGCTTATTATCTTTTTTCCACTTCATTCTCCGGTTTTGGAACCAGATTTTAATTTGTCTCTCGGAGAGGCAAAGAGCATGTGCTATTTCAATCCTTCTTCGGCGTGTCAGGTAACGGTTGAAGTGGAACTCCTTCTCCAGCTCCAGGGTCTGGTAGCGCGTGTAGGCCGTCCGGGCCCTTTTTCCTTCCGGGCCGCCTATGTTGTCTGCAATAGAAAAGTCAGCGGTTTAGCCACCAACTCCTGTCTTCCAAAGTCCTCCAGGGGGACAAGCTTGGGTCCTGAGCAGGGAACCCAGGCGAAAAGCTCAACAAGTTCTCCCTACCAGCCCGCACACCCCTCCCGAATTTCCTTCCCTCTTCCTTTCTAGAGAGAAAACAATACGATTTGGATCCTGGGAACAATCTGCCCATCTGAGGCTGGGGCCGTGTCCCGGAGGACTCCGGCGTTCCCTGGCCCCTCTCCTGCCCTCTGCGCCCTACCCCGGGCGCCCCGATCGGGAGGCACAGCCCTCCCAGGCTGCCCACCGCACAGAAACCCAGGAAGCAAGGCCCTTTCCTGAGTGCCCAAGTGGCCTTTGGGTCACCCTGCCTCAAAGTTCCAGCCCCGAGAGCCGCCTCCAGTTTCCAGCCTGCAGGGTTGGGGCGCCTGCTTTCTTTTTCTTCCCTTCCCTTTCCTTCTCTCTCCCTCCTGCCCCCAAAATTCAGAATCCTGCCGGCTCTCGCCTCGATTCTTCCCCCCAAGCCCCTTTTCGGGGGCTCTAATTAGTAACGCTGCTTCCCCAGCGTAGCCCTCCTCATAAATTATCCGCCCTGACAAGCCCGATTCACGGCTCCTACTGCCATCCTCTACCTCTCTGCGTCTTGCTCAGCTGGCCTGACCCGGGAGCGCGTTCCAAGGCGTGGGGTTCCAGAGGGGTTTTTTGCTTCCTGCCCCTTTCAACGTCTAAACTGGCCCAGCGAACGCCTATTTCCCCCACTATTTGTGAGCGCGGGGTGCTTGCAAAGAAGAGGAGGAAGGAGGAAGGCAGAGGAGGGAGAACGGCAAGGAGAGGCTCCGCAGGGCTGGGAGAAATGAGACCAGGAGAGAGACTGGGAGAGGGCGGCAGAGGAGAGAGGGGGGACCGAGAGCCGCGTCCCCGCGGTCGCGTGGATTTAGAAAAAGGCTGGCTTTACCATGACTTATGTGCAGCTTGCGCATCCAGGGGTAGATCTGGGGTTGGGCGGGCGGCGCCGGGCTCGGCTCGCTCTGCGCACTCGCCTGCTCGCTGCTGGCAGGGGCGTCCTCCTCGGCTCCGGACGCCGTGCCAACCCCCTCTCTGCTGCTGATGTGGGTGCTGCCGGCGTTGGCCGAGGCGCCGCTGGAGTTGCTCAGGGAGTTTTTCCCGCCGTGGTGGCTGTCGCTGCCGGGCGAGGGGGCCACGGCGGAGCAGGGCAGCGGGTCGGGCGGAGGCGAGTGCGTGGACGTGGCCGGCTGGCTGTACCTGGGCTCGGCGGGCGCCGCGCTGGCGCTGGCCGCGTAGCTGCGGGCGCGCTCTCCGGAGCCAAAGTGGCCGGAGCCCGAGCGGCCGACGCTGAGATCCATGCCATTGTAGCCGTAGCCGTACCTGCCGGAGTGCATGCTCGCCGAGTCCCTGAATTGCTCGCTCACGGAACTATGATCTCCATAATTATGCAACTGGTAGTCCGGGCCATTTGGATAGCGACCGCAAAATGAGTTTACAAAATAAGAGCTCATTTGTTTTTTGATATGTGTGCTTGATTTGTGGCTCGCGGTCGTTTGTGCGTCTATAGCACCCTTGCACAATTTATGATGAATTATGGAAATGACTGGGACATGTACTTGGTTCCCTCCTACGTAGGCACCCAAATATGGGGTACGACTTCGAATCACGTGCTTTTGTTGTCCAGTCGTAAATCCTGCCTGATGACCTCTAGAGGTAAACTCGTGCACTAATGGGGGAGTTGGGTGGAGGCGAGAGGGGTGGCGCGCGCGCCTCGGGCGCGTGCCCGCCGCCAGTTGCTGCGGTTCAGTCGGACTCGAGCGCCACCCGCTGGAGGCAGGGCGCATCGCCCAGTTTCCGACCGGGGGCTGCAAGGGCCGGGGTCGAATTGAGGTTACAGCCCATTATGGCAAAATTATTGCATTTCCCTCGCAGTTCCATTAGGATGTACCAATTGTTAGGCCGTCAGCTGCCGATCGCGCGCCCGGCGAGGATGCAGAGGATTGGGGGAAGGTGGTGACTTGCATTTTATTTACAACAACTTTATTTCCCCCGTTTTGCAGCCCCTCTTATTTTTGTGTCGAGGTTGGGGTCGGTTCTGCCCGTCCTGCCAGCAGCTCTGAATTTTGAAAATACAGATATCACCTTCGGGGAAGGGGGAAAGCCATTTAGCCAACTGGATAAATAAATCCTGCCCGCAGCAGCAGCAGCTACAATTACGGCTCTGTTTTTGCGAGCGCATGAGGGACAGTGTCCCTGCCGCTCTTAAATGACAGGCGTCTATTAAAGATAGCTTTTGTGTAGTGTTTCTGCAAGGCGAGGTCAAATTCCATACACTTTTATAACCGTAGTCGATTTTTCTTTCGTGTGAATATGGTTTTCGTGTCATTAGTTTGCTATTTGATTTGCTTACGTATCCAGCCTGGAAAATCTTCATCACAGGGTCCGGTTCCTCGAGCCAGCCGGACCCCCAGTTGGAGGGTTCTCCTTGAACCCAGCGAGTGGGCCCAGGCTCCCTGCAGCCACAGAGGCTGCTTGGGGTCTGGGGATCCGTGGGGCCGGTTACTGGGGTCTTGCTTAGACCTCCAGGAGTAAAATGAGGGCGATAATGGAAGCATTTCGTGGCAGTGCGTAGTATCTCTGTAGTTAATTTCCACGGCTCCGAAAGACTCAAGTAAATCACAAATATAGCTGAGAGGCAAGTGGAGTCTCCCCGCTGGAGGCCCCGCGTTGCAGGCGCCCCTGGCACGTCTGGAAGCCAGGACTCTGGCGGCTTCCATGGCCCTGGGCCCCTCGTTGGGTCCTGAACGCTGCTGTGGCGGCGACGCGGGCGCTATCGGAGGCAGGGAGCGGGAATCCGGAGCCGGGGGCCTGAGGGATCCCAGGGGCTCCCCGGGCTGTAATGTTCCACCCGCGCCCAGGTTAGGTTGCCTCGGCTGAGGCTGCTTCTTTTCCACTGACGGTTGCACACGCGGGACCGAGAGACTGGGCTCTGTTGGGGCCCCCTTTGTTCCTTGAGCTTCCTGTTCTGGGAGGCCGCTTGGGAGGCCGCGACAAGGCCGGGCTCCAGCACTTAGAACCCCTCTTTCAACTGGTCAGAGATAATTTGATGATGCCCTTCGGGACCTACTGGCGAGGGACCTAGGCACAGACTCCCAGACGCGAAACGGGGCTCGGCCCAGGGCTCTTTCCTCCCTAGCAGCTCGGCGTTCCGAGGTCGGGGAGCTCAGAGGCACTAGCACAGCAGCCCCGGACGCTTTCAGGGCGCACCCCAGAACTCGGGAGCCGGTTTGGGCAGCCTTGTGGAGCGGGACTGGGTGTGTGCAATGCGCCCCGCTCCACCGCTGGTATTGGCTGTGTGTGAGGTTTTGTTTTGTTTTGTTTTTTAAGAAATAAATGCACAGACGCTTGCAAAGCTCCCGGCTCCCCTGAAGTTGCGGAAGCCCCCGATGGGAGCAGGCGGGGAGAAAAGTTGGGGAGCAGGCGAGGGCAAGGGGGCAAAGCCGAAGGAGGTTGCAGCGCTGGCCTGGTCCCTGCCCAGGCGTCTACTCGTCCGCCTTTGCCTCTGAGTCCTCCCCGCTGGGCTGCGTGGAATTGATGAGCTTGTTTTCCTTTTTCCACTTCATGCGGCGGTTCTGGAACCAGATCTTGATCTGGCGCTCAGTGAGGCAGAGCGCGTTGGCGATCTCGATGCGGCGGCGCCGTGTCAGGTAGCGGTTGAAGTGGAACTCCTTCTCCAGCTCCAGTGTCTGGTAGCGCGTGTAGGTCTGGCGGCCTCGGCGCCCATGGCTCCCGTACACAGCACCTGCGAGCAGAAACAGCCGGGCGCCGGTAAGCCAGGACCTGGATGGTTGACCCAGTCAGCCCAGTGCCTCCCACAAGGGGCATACGAACTGAAAACCACCCCGCCTCCACTCCAGCCTCTCCCACTATGTCTGGGGCCCAAAGCATACTGAATGGGAGATTATTTCATACCAAGCGAGATGTTTTCCACCTATAACGACTTGGGGTGGACATTATTGTTTTTGAAAAATCTGCCTCATAGGAAAATCATTACAATCAAAATAACAGAATGGGCATTCTTAATTTGGGACGGCCAGGTCGTGTTTTTGTGGGGATGCAGGGTGTGTGTGTGGGGCGGGGGGGAGGTGTGGAACCATGTAAGTAGTGTACACACTCTGAATTCATAGTGGTCTCTCTGAGGATGCTACTGTGACCAGCCATGTCAGAACTCAACACATTTTTTGAAGAGTTAAAAATGGTCAGCCCTCTTGAATCTTTACACATTCTCCCATATTATATGACCCTTCTGAGAAACGCAGAACTCACCCAAGGATAAAGTGGATTTTAACGCAAAACATTATAATTTTAACAATCCGCATTAGGCTCTGTCCTAGGGAATTCCTAGGAGTCTTTGGGATTCCCTGTGGAGTCTTTGGAAACCAGAGGCTAAGAGATGGAGCTATAGTTAGTCTAGGATTTCTAGCAATGTAGGATTGTGTTGGGCTGTCTGATCTGTGCCAAAGATCCCCAAGGGTGGTGGGGATCCCTCCAAGACAGGTGTATGAACTCAGGCATGGGCTCAGAAGAAGGCAGAAGTTGGCTAAGAGTGAGCAGTTGAGTGGAAGGGGGAGGAGGTGAGGGAAGAGAGAGAAAAAAAAATCCTGAGTCTGGGGCTGTGGCCCTCCAAGGCTTTGGGGAGACACTAGAAGAGGCCAAATGGCCACCTCTCTCTGTACGGGTTTCTGAAGGGCAGAAAGGAGAGGGGGTTGGGAAGCAAAGGGTATTTATCAGTGACCAGTGCAAAAGGCCCACTGGCTTGGGAAGCTGAGCAGGGTACCCAGGGTGCATGGGTCCCCACCAGCCTCTCTCTCTCTCTTCAGGCTGTCCCTGTCACAGGTCTCATATACGTCTCAGTGCCCCCATCCTCCCCTAAAGTGTCACCTTACATGGACACTGGGGCCCTGCCCTTCCTCTGCCATGGCCTGATTGCCCCATTGGGAACTGATTTTTTCTTCTCTTTTAAAAAGTCAAAGAAACTTTGCTAGTTCTTTCCTCCTTTCTCTCTATTCCTCTTTCTACTCGGTTTCCTCCTTCTTTCTTTCTTTTCCTGCCTCCTTTCCCCTCTCCCTCCACTGTCTTGGGATATGCCTTACCCGCGCAGGAGTTCATCCGCTGCATCCAAGGGTAAACGGGACTCGAGTACTTCCGGTCGGCGCCTTCGTCATGGAGTGCTTTGCCCTGCCCGCTGCTGCTGTCGGGTTTGTACTGCTGCTCGGGAGAAAAGTGCAGGTAGTCCCCGGGGCCCCTCTGCTTGCCACTGCCCGAGGGCGAGGCGCCACTGAGGTCCTTATCAGAATAGAAACACGAGGCCCCGTACTCGTAGGACGCCCGGTTGCAGGCCAGGACAGAGTTGGACTGTTGGTAGAAACAAGGTGAGGTGTACGTCTTGTCCGGGAGACTCGACGCCCCGTACGAGGCCGGGAAGGGCCTCAGCGCGTCATAGCCGGCCTGGTAGAGGGGCAGCTGGCCCAAGAAGGAGTCCTGGCCGCTGGGCAGGCTCCCGGGGAAAGTGGGATTCACAAAATAGGAACTCATTTGCGCGCCCCTCTGCAGGACTGTGATTTGTTGTGTATTAGTACATCTGGCTATAACTATTAGTAGTCATCGAACTGGTTTGTTTCTGGATGGCCGAACGCCAAAAGCGACAGCAGCAAATCGCACCAGCTGACGCCGCGGCGGCCAATGGGAGCGAGCGCCGGAGCCCGCTCCCCAGGGACCGCGGCGACCGAGGCAGCAAAGTTACAAACAGCCCCCAGCTCGCCCGCCCGCCGCCCGCCCGGCAGATTAATGGGCACGCACAGCCAGCCGGCCCGGCTCTCTTCCCGAACGCCAGCGGCGGGCACTGCCCATTCAGGGGCGAGCCGATCAGGCCAGAGTAGGGACACTAACGCTCGGGCCGCCGCAAAGGCCCCGCCAGGCCCCCTCCTTCCTCCTCCCCTTTTTGCTTTATTGAATTTTGCGGGTTCCCCACCCCTCCTCCTCCAAACAGGAAACCTGAAGGTCCTGCGCCAGGAGGGGCGGTGACAAAGGTGGCTTTGCTCCCTGCCGGCCTGTACTCCAGGCATGGCTCCGAGTTGCCCCTCCCCTAGCGCTCCCCTATTAGTGGGTGCGAGTTCTTGAGCTGGAGCAAGGGCCATGAGAAACCAGGCCTTCACTCTATGCTCTTCACTCGTGCGCCTTAGCAATCGGTGAACTCCCTTATTCTCTCCTTCTCCACTCGCACCAGGGGCCTGGGCCTTGCAGCCCAGAGCTGAAGGATCACCTCGAGCTGACCAGGACTCAGCCAAACGTAGGTTCTTCCCACCCATTCCCTCCTCCCACATACACATCCTGTTTGAGTCCCAAGGGGCTCAATGGCCCGCGCCTGCCTGGTCTTAAAGCACCCCTTCCAGCTGGGCGTCCCCATCCCACCTTTGAACCCAGGGAATTAAGAGGCCAGAAACCACTGGTTTTAACAAGAAAGGACCGACAGAGCAGCGGCCGTGAGACTGGGCTCCTAAGCCAGCCGAGGGACCTGCTCCCCTGCCCAGCGCCTGGGGACTCGGCATCTGCTGCGAGAACCGCTCAGAGCTGAGGCAGATAAAAGTCCAGATGTGGAATCTTTCTGTCCACATTCCAGAGGCACAGAAGACGCAGGGGCCCTGGCCAAGCTGGGCACAGAGGGCAGCTCTGCGGGGCCCAAGGCCGCGGGATAATTGATGGGCTCGGTTTCCGGGGCGCCCGACAACCGGCACTGTCCTGGGGCCGCCCTCTTTACTGCCCTTCCTGGGATCGCACGGAGGGCTGCCGCCCCTCAGTCTCTCCGGAACCGGGAATAGTTGTCTCACCGGCTCCAGAAATCCTGAATTGTTTTCACTGCTGTTCCAGGCCTGGCGGTCCCCAGACAGGACATTAGAAGCCTGTCCTGGGCTGTTCACTCTTGCCTGAGAGGTGTGCCTTCGAGATAGTTGACTTTTACAACACATGGATCAATCTCGTTTTGTAAAATGTGATAGCAGCCCAATGGCATTTTTACAACTGTGTTTGTTGGGCTTGTAAAACCCCTTGAATTAGCTTTAAAATCCTCAATTCTGTGGAGGTTGAAGAAAGACTATTTACGTGATTTGGATGGATTTCTGGAGACTGTTTACAGATCTGTAAAACCCTGGCCAATGCAGGCTCACCGGTTCCGGACTTAGTGGGGAGGTGGCAATTGGCAGTGTTCCAGTAGGAATCTAGTAATGACTTAGTCTCTTCCTTGCTTTTCCAATTTTTTTCCTGAGCTCTCTTCCCCCAAAGGGAAAAAATTGGGAAAGGACTGGCCTAAGGTTGACCTCCAAAGAGCCCAAGAGGCACTCCTGGAAGGCGGCTACTAGCCCGGCAATGGGGGCTACCCCTGGAAGCTGGATGCCTGTTCCCCAGTCAATCTGTCCTAGAAAGGGTTTACTTTGCATATAAAGCAGGGCCTTGAATGAGAGGATAGAATTGGGCATTTCCCACACATTACTTCAGGGAAAGAATTCAATAGGTGAAAATGAAAACTGGTGTCAAAAAATTAAAAGGGACTTTTAAAAATAGCTGTTTGAAGAAAATCATGTTTGTGGTTTTTTTTTCTTGAAATTATCAGACTACAGTGATTTTAAGCAAGTTATTGTTTAAGATGAAAATAACCATTTGGAGATGTCAATCAATGTTTACATTTATAATTCCCTTTTCATTCCTCCATGTCCCACACAGTGGTGGGGTTGGTGTCAATTTACTGTTGTTATTATTATTTGTCATGCCTTGACTAGGATTCTCGATCTAATTATTGTTCCAGCTGACAAGAGAATTTGATTTCTCAGCTAAGAGCCAGAAAACATTGTATTTCTAGCTTCTATAGGCCCTAAGATGGAAAAATATATATTACATTGGAATCTTTACATGTTAGCCAAGGCTAGTGCATATCAAGTTGGCAGCTGACCAATTCATTTCTCCACCCATATATATATATACACACACACACGCACACCTCTCTCTCTCTCTCTCTCTCTCTCTCTCTCTCTCTCAGAGAGAGGATCATTCCGGCAAGAATAGGCAGCCCAGACCCTCCAGAGAGCCTCTCCTGCGATGGTGAGAATGGCCACCGCAGGGCTCTCTCTCTTCCCTGCCAAAGCCACGCAGAAAGCGACTTACCTTACAGTTTCTCTCCAAGGCGGGCAGGATGGCGAGCTGGGCCCCACCGTCTGTCTGCCCTTGCCCTGGGCTGCCCATTGAACAGCTCCACCTTCGCCAGCCTGGAGGGTGGTCTGGGAGTATGTAGGTGTGGTACCTTGAAGGCCACCTCAGTCCAGCCAGCTCGCTAGCCCAGGCCAGAGCCCAAAGCACACAGGTGCGGCCTCTGCCCTTCACAGGCCCTCGCCTGGAGCCAAAGCCGTCCTTCTTTGCCATATCCCATCCTCCTCAGATCCGCCAGGCCTACAAGCCTCAGGACTACAGATAGTCTCTCCGATATCAGAATCGCAAAGTCAGAGTGTTCCCTGAACCAGCGTGCGCCCCCAAGACGCCTTGGGACGTGCAGTTTGGGCAGAAGCAGCCATGACGTGCCAGGCGGCCTGTGCAACCAGTCTCCATGGTGCTGGAGTGGGGGTGGGGGGAGGACCCGAGTCTATACCGGCGTCCAGCTGCGGTCAGGGGTAGCCGAGGCGGGGAGATTTCCCGGCCAAATAGGCTCTGGGTGATAGCCCCCCAGGTCCCCTTTCGTCCCCCTGTACCCTGCTTGCTGGGAAATCTCTGGAATCTCTGAGGGGCCCGTACAGCAGTCGCGCCAGGCTGCAAGAGGCGGGCTGCGGCTGGCGCCGGTCCCGGCGACGGCCACGGCGTGGCAGCAGCGAGCGCCAGCACGGTCGCAATAAATAATCCGCCAGCGGCAGCCTCAGGCAGAAAGGCAGCGACCCTAGGATGCAAATACGCCGCTTTATCCGCCCCGAGCGCACCCAGAGCACGGGCGAACGTCCCAGACATCCACAGCCCCTTCCTATTTATCGAATCCATACCAAGATATTGTTTCAAGATGGGGAAACAACAACCCAAACAAAAAATAAACAAAAAGAACCTTGGACTCTTTTCTTGTCGCTGTCCGGGGAGTTCCCGGGGCAAATCTGGTCTGATACGCACTTAGGCTGAGCTACAGTTCGAGCCACCGCGCTACGCAAAGCCACCGCCAGCAGCACGCTCCGCGCTTCCTCCCGGGCAGCTCCACAGTCCTCTCCCCGCTCGCGGGAGGTGGGGAGTGCGGTCGCCAGTCAGTTGCTCCAAGGTGGATTGGGGGGTCCCCCTATCGCCCAGACTCGGTTTGCGTCCTTCCTTCAACCTTAACTGCGGGCCCCTGCCACCCGCGCTAACACCATTACGTCCTCTGCACCGAAACTTCCCACCAAGTAACACCCAATTAACTCCATCCTCTCCTCCAACACAGAATTCCACCCACACACCTATTCCCTCTCCCAGCGCTTCAGACACCTCTCTCATCGAAAAACCGGGCGAAAGGAAGCCGTCAACGAGCGGAGAACTCTGGCTGAATTAGTAAGTTTTTCTCTGTTTCTCCCTTTTACCTTTCTCTCTGAAACCAATTCCCACGGAGTAGAAGGTGCTGTGCTGATGCTAATAAAATGACTGTGGATTAATGCACTTTGCCCTCACCGCTTCCCACCTTCCCAGGTCAAGAACGGTTTCCTGTTGTTGGGGAATCCAACAAAACCAAATAGGGCCATGAATGAAAACATAAAAATCCAAACCCAAGGGAATAGCGGGGAACACAGTGTGCCGGGCCACTTCCTTTTGGGCTTCAGGGGGTCGCTGGGGAAGGGGAGAGAGACGACCCAAGGGATGCTGCCCTGTGCCTGGGCGCTGTGCCACGGAGGGCCGAGGGAAGGTGGGCACTTACTGCCAAGGCGAGCCAGGGAGGGGAGAGAAAGGGAGTGGTGTGTGTGCGTGTGTGCGCGCGTGTGTGTGCCTGTGTGTGTGACGTGTGTGTGCTGTAGTGTGTGATGGGGGCGAGTGTGAATGGGTGAGTATGGTAAGGGGGAGTGTGCCCCTCTTAAAGCCTCCCTGGGTGCCCTCTCCCACCGCTGCTGCCGCCAGCTGTCACCTCACCACCTTTACTCCTATCTCCTCCCCACATGTCTCACCTTCAGACGGCGACTCTCAGAAGCTCCTGCGCCTGTGACAGCTGTCGCTTGGGCAGCCCGAAAGACGAATTGTCCTCCTTCCTGGTGCCAGAGGACGCAGGAAATTAGCCAGGTTGCGAGTTGCAAAGCTGCCGCCGCGGCGCCGGGAACGGGGCGCGCCTCATCTCCAGCGGGAGCCGCCAGGCCTGGCCTGGCCGGGGCTTCCCTTTGCTCGCCATCTCCGGACAAAGCGCAGCCGAGCCAGGCTCGAAGGCAGAGCTCCGAAGCAGGCAGGACGGAGCGGAGCAAAAGAATGCGGCTCTATTCTCGCAAGGGAAATTATAAAAAAGTTCATGTTCACGGTTCTCATCCACATGACCGACAGCGGCCAATGGAAGGGCCGAACAACTCATAAAGTTGTATTGCAAAGTTGTAAATTTTCATAAACAACAACGGATTTATGACCCTTTCCCCATCACTGAGAGGAGGCAGCTCTTACACCGGCGCCATCTTACCACCGAGGCCGCCCAGACTTGGGGCCTCAGGTTTTACAGACCCTTTTGGGCCCGGTTTTACTAAAAGAGCCATAAGAAGCGGACCCAACCCAGGCAGAAGACTGGAGACAAGGTCTTGCAGGCGGAACTCAGGATGCTCTGAGCTGCCCGCACAATCCCTCGCCCTTCGCCCCTCGCCCCTTCCCTGCACCCAGATGCCCCAGCCCCTGCCCAGGCTGCGCAGCCCAGCGAGGGTCTGCGGTCCTAGCCCCTCCCCGCGCCACCTACAGCAGTGCGGGACCCTGGGGCGCCCTTGCCTCGCCTGCAGGCGGGGTGGGGGCCTTAAATCCCATTTCCTAGCCTGGGGCTGGGTTCAGGGCGCATGCGAAATCCGTAATCAGCCTCTGGATAATGCCCCTTTCCAAGCCCACTGCGCAGCCTTAGAGGAAAGGGTGGATTTGAAATTTCCTCATGGAATTTATGGAGATTTTTAGGGAGCTTCATAGAATATAACGTATCTGCCAGAGATTCCGTTTTCAAGGGATCTAGAAGATGCACACAAAAACCAGACAAACGTCTCTACACGGATAAAGGCACATGTACAATTATGCACACAGGGAAGGGCATACACTCTATTGTGGGCACAGAATGACATGCAATTATGGACACACAGAAACACATGCACCCAATTATGGACACCAAAATATACACAATTGTGAAATTAGGTAAAAACACACACACAGAAATACATAAACAGAAAAATAAGCACATACTCATACAAATACACACATAAAAATACATTAAAAAATACATGACACCAATACATGAGCATCCAACACTTGGACCATCACAAGGACAGCCACCCCACTTTTGCTTCCCCACTGCCCCTTTCCCTCCAGCCATGCTCACTTCCCCTTTCCCAGTCTCCTCTGGATAAGGTAGTCCACGTTTTTCTTTGTCACCAAGCATCTTTATTTTTCAGTTACATAAAACACAGCTGGGCTGGGAAGTGTGCCTTCCCTGAACCCCAGGATGGAGCTGAGGGGGATACAGGACAACACAGGAGATGAAGGGCATTGTGGAGGGCATTGGACCTCCCCACCCACTACAGTTAGCTCAAGACAACATACCATGCTACAAAGTCACCCCATTAACACATCCTTTCCAAGTCAAGACACTGCCTTACAAATGAACTCCAAGACTATAGAAACGATCAAACAAAAAAATCTTGTTCAAATATACAGTATCTGCTATTATAGGAAACGTCAGGGTGTACATATTTAACACAGCTGAACAGTAAGATACAGGAGCCAGAGGAAAGGACAGCGAAGCTGGGAGCATCTCCACAGTCCTACTAAGCAGAAGGTAACCCAGAGATCTGCAGCCAGCTCAGGAACATTCCCCTCCAGAAGTGGGGGTTGATGGGCCTGAACTTTGGGTGCCAAGCCAGAGAAGGAGGGATTGATTCTAGGGTACAGCACTTAGAATGCTTTTTGGAATAAATATATTATTTTTCAATTTAAATAGATGCCAATACCCTGATCCTGGACCTCAGCACATTCTCAGGGCAGCCTCAGGGACCCCAAAACCTGCGGGCTGTAAGCAGCAGGGGCCTTGTCTGGGAGCAGTCGGCACTAGGTAGCAGGCAAGCCAGCCAGCACAAAATAGGTAGTTTTAGGGGAGTAGGTAGTAGTGAGATTCACGTTCTTGCGGATCTGGGAGGGTGGTGCTGGGTGTCTGCCAGTGCTGGGATACATAGGGGCTTCCTGGGAATGGAGGCCCTCTGGGCTGGATACATAGGTAGTTTGGGGGTGCCTCGAGCAGAGGCCTGTGCTAGGTAGTATTTTGGCCGCGCCAGCGCAGGGCCGGCTGACCTGGGGTTGGGGTGTCTTTTGGGGTCCTCGGAGGCAGAGGGAATCCAAGGCGACCCAGTCGCTGCGGCCGCTCAGTCCACAAAAGTTGGGAGCTGGAGTAGGTGATGGGGGCCGGGTAGAGTGCAGGTTGGGGACTGTTTTGTTTGTTCGTTGTTTTTTTTTTTTTTTTTTTTTCTTTGTTTTTTTTTTTTTTTTTACATTTTCTTTTATTTTCCCCATTTTTGTAAATAAAACCAGTGAGTCTCTTAAAGACGCTTTTCCGACTGTCCGGTGCAGCGAGGGCCCCGGCTCGGCCCCTCATTCCTCCTCGTCTTCCTCTTCTTCATCATCGTCCTCCTCGTCAGCCTTGTCCGCGGCAGCGGTGGCGGCGGCAGAGGGCACGGCGCCCTCGGGAGCTGCTGCGGCAGCCGGACCTTCGTCCTTATGCTCTTTCTTCCACTTCATGCGGCGATTCTGGAACCAGATCTTGATCTGGCGCTCGGTGAGGCAGAGCGCGTGGGCGATTTCAATGCGGCGGCGCCGCGTCAGGTAGCGGTTGAAGTGGAACTCCTTCTCCAGCTCCAGTGTCTGGTAGCGCGTGTAGGTCTGGCGGCCCCGCTTCCTGTCAGGTCCTGAGAACAGACATGCAGACACAGGAACACACGGACAGACAAGTAGACAGGGCACTCGTTAGGCTGCTGTCCCAGAGCCCACACCTTCCTCCTGGCCTAGTCCCAGGCGAGCATCCCCCTCTGCCCCAGGCCCCAAACTGAGCTAGGGGAGGAGGAGGGGTGTTAGGGAAAGACCCCAACTGCAGTGCCAGACTCGCAGGCAGCTCTGTAATTAGCAAAGGCACAGAATCCCAACTTTACAACAGCCTTTTCCAGCCGGCTAAGCTTCCACAATGTCCTGCTTCCCCTGACAAAGGAAAACTGTAAATATAGAGTGTGGGCAAGTGGGAAAAGCTGCACTTTTGCCATTCAAAGATGAGCCCGGCCATTCCCCCACCTTGCTAGGCAAGTGGGCGACCCTTCCCAGCAGCCTGAGACCTCAATCCCCAGGACCTTCCTAGGGTACCCCGACCCTCTGGCCTCATTCCCTCGCCCCCATCTTGAAATGGCCCCTGGCACAGGGTCGGGTGAGAGGCCTTGGAGGGCTTGGCTCTCCCAGCTTTTGAGGAAGAAAAGCCAGGCAGCAAGGAAAAGGAGGAGGAAGAGAAGAAAGGGAGGGAGGGTGACAGAAGAGGGAGAAAGAGAGAATAGCGAACAAACTTAATGTTAAAATTCCAAGGCAAATGGAGTTAAATAAATTTACGAGGATCGAACCCATTAATTGGGCCATAAAAAGTTTTATGAGCCTCATTTACATACAATGCTATGGGCTCCACGCAATGGCGCCTCCGCTCTAATTAAAACCAGAAAGGCTGCGCCGGGAGTCACGGGGCTGCCGGCTCGCAACAGCCTGGCTCCGCTCTTCCGGCCCCCGGCTCCGCGCTCACCAGCGCCGCGCTCCCCGCTCCCGGTCCCGCTCCACCAGCCCGGCCAGCCTAGCGACTGCGCCTACCTGAAGACCGCATCCAGGGGTAGATGCGGAAATTGGCTTCGGCTGGGCCGTGCAGCACGCCCTCGTCCGCCTTGTCGCAGGCGCCTTTGGCGAGGTCACTGCAGAGCCCGGGGATGTTTTGGTCGTAGGAGGCGCAGGGCAGGTTGCTGTAGGCGTCGGCGCCCAGACCGTAGCCGGATGCAAAGGGGCTCTGATAAAGGGGGCTGTTGACATTGTATAAGCCCGGAACGGTCGAGGCGAAGGCGCCGGCGCCCGCCCCGTAGCCGCTTCTCTGTGAGTTGGGCGCAAAGGAGCAAGAAGTCGGCTCGGCATTTTGGAACAGAGAAGCCCCCGCCGTATATTTGCTAAAAAGCGCGTTCACATAATACGAAGAACTCATAATTTTGACCTGTGATTTGTTGTCCGGCAGCTTTCAGTGTCGGTTTTACGAGGTAGCGTGATATATGATAACATTACACCCCCAGATTTACACCAAACCCCATTTTCTTTTGGACGGAGCTCGACGCAGCACGTGACCGCCCACATGACCGCCTCCGCCAATCTCAGCAGCCCTCACAGGTGGTCTCGCTCCGCTGGGCCCGCGGCCGCCTAGAATGGAAGGGGAAGAGGCTCAAATATGCGGCCAACGAATCCGCCCGCGCCCGGTGGGCCTGGCGCGTCGGGCGGAAAAAGACCCGGAGGCTCCGCGGGAGCGCCCAGCTGGCCGCCAACCTCGGCACTGGGGTCTGCAGACGCCGGGCGGCCCCGCCTCGCGCAACCCCCCCATTCCTGCTAGTGAGCCCTGGACCCAGCTTGGGATCCTCCCCATCCCTCTCCTGTCCGCTTGCCCAGCCCCTGGAAGGATCTCTGTTCCCCGCAACAGACTGCCCCTCGGTGGCCTTGTGGGCAGGACTCAGCTATGAGCAGATCGACTCTGCCCAAGTCTTCTCTCATCCAGGTCCAGTGGGCGACACGCCGGACTTAGACTCGGATCCAGACGGGGAAAGCGCAGCGTCGCTTGCAGCTGCAGCGAGAATGCCACCGCAAACTGGAACCATGTGGTTCGAATAAAGTCAACGTCTCTCAGCTTCCTTTCCTTAATCGGAGGCACACTGTTTATCCGCCCTAAAGGAAACAGTGAAATATTTATCTATTAATGAGACTCATTTGCCAACAGATTTATTAACGTGGGGTTCCTCTCCCTCCTCCCGGACGCTGTAGTGCTGCAGGCTCTGTGCCTTCGCTCCTGGGCACCTGGCTGGCTCCAGCAGTCCGATAAATGGCTAAAGATTCTTTTGTCCTTGTCACAACTTCTGGTTCCCCTCTGGCGCATGGGTAGCCAGGGCTGTTTCCCCCAGCTTGGAGAAATCTCAGGCCTGCACCCTTCCAGGCACTCCCAACAGTGGAAGGTTTCTGGTAGCCTTCACCTCAGCCACTCTTAGGCCTCCACCTCCTAGGCCGGGGTGCCTGGGAACAATACATGCTTTAGAGCCGATTTGGAGAGTGGGCTCTGGCGTCTAGGGACTGCAACCCCCTGTGGACTTCCATTTCTTTTGAAGACACCAAAAACAAATAGGGGGACGACCCCCTAAATGCCACCCAGCTGTGGAGGCTTCGCCTATCCAAGTACCAGCTCACACGGAGCTGAGCGCACGGTGGTCTCACTCCCTCCCATCCAGGTCCCCAATTCCTGCCTTCCCAGGCCTCCGACCCCTGCACCACGTTGGACCAGCTGAAGCCCCTGCCGCCCACCGCTCAGAGGAGGATAGTGGGGAGAACCCTTCCCCTAAACGCCTCATAAACTGCCCGGCTGCTCTGGAAACCCAGCCACCTTTTACTGCTCAGCTCGATTACACACCATAAACCCGACCTCACAATGGAATTGCCCCGGAAATTCTCCTGTAAATTATAGAGTTGAGTTCCTTGTGTACAAAGCACTTCCCATCACTTTCAGAGGGTCCAGGCCGCCCCCGTTTACCGCACCCTCTCAGGGGGTCCCAGGAATACAAAAGGTGGAGGGAGGGTTCAGATTGGGACGCCATGGAGCCCCAGTCCCTGCGCAGTGAACCACCCGGGCTTGGGAGTGAAGGTGGGGGCTGGTGGGGCAGGTGGGCCCTGGGCTGTCTCCTCCTGTGCCACGGAAATCCAGGGGTAGGGGTGTGGGGTGGGGGACAATATCCGGAGATGCCTTTATGGCGGATCAGATGATACCGTGTCTCTGATGGAGAATAGAGAGAGTAAGACAAAAAGAAAAAACCTAAATAATCCCTGTGGCATCGCCTTCTGGAAGGAAATAAAAACCCAAGAAAGTTAAAGAAAGATGAAACAAACAAGAAGGCTAGGAGATCAAAGAGGCAGAATTAGACCGCTTTAGACCAATAAATTGTTCCTGGGGTGACACAGAGCAAGATGCAAAGAGAAAAGACCAAGGCCCCCGCTGCCGCCGCCGTCTGTCTAGACTCAAGCGGCTGGAGGGGCTGACAGAGCTGGTGTTTAAAGTAGAACCTGCCCAGTCCAACAGCCCGAGCGGGGAGCGATTTCGGGGAGTGCGGGAAGGAACGCACTTCGCCAAGGGAGGGCTGGGCGCCCTCGCCACCGGCTCATCCCTGCCCCGGTTTTGCCCGGCGCGCGTCCAGGAGGTTCTGGCAGGACACACTGCCCCTCTGCCCTGGCCAAGGAGGATCCGGATACCGCTCGCAAGGCTTCGGCCCTTATGGACCCAAGTCAGCCAACTGGGCCGAGTCCTGCGGACACCGAAACCTCCCTTTCGTTTCCAGGCTTCTTTCTCCCCTCCTGCCCTGTGTGGTCTGATTTAAAACGAAAAGGTCAGATAAAATCAGGCTTTCAATAAGGCTTCTTTAACTGCGTGTTCTCTATTCATTGGTTCTCTACTTATTTGACTGAAAAGACACAAATGCACTAGGTTATGTGAGAGAGTTTTCACAGAAATACTCATTGACCCTCAGCCTGAAGCAGGCACATGTAGGCGGGTTTCTAATCAGCCGAGCTATCTTTAGATAGATATTTTCAACTGCTGTCCCTGAGCTTCCTTCCTACCTACTGGCAGAGCGTGTTCACCCTGCTTCTTGTTACCAAATACCAATATTTAAATTCAATTATGAAGGTAAAGCCAGCTCTAGGCAGGGAATAGCGCCTTCCAGAGATTTGGTGGGTGGCTGGCGAATTGCTTCCTCAAGGTTTCCACCCTTGCCTCTCTCATCGGCTGCATCTGTTCCCCACCCAGTCAGTGAGTGATCCCTGGCCTGGGCGCAAAGACAAACCCGTCCCCGTAGCGTACAAATGAGATTGGGTTGGCGCGGCGCGGGGTCTTGCCTAGGTGAAGGCCTGCTGCGGGGAAACCACTCCCAGGCTTCCCAGAGGAAAAGCAGACTCCCAGTCACCAGCCTGCCAAGGGCAAGGGAGGCGCCTTTGGACGGTCCACCCAGGCCTGGGAGACCTTGGGCTGCCTGAACCCACCTGAGGCCTCCATGATCGGTGGAGAGACGCAGTCGCCACCGATCTGTGATTTCATTTATTTGTAGTTACACAAATCGAGCTTTCTCTCTGAATCTACAGATCTGCGACTTCACCATTTATTTGTAGTTAAAGAAATTGAGCTATCTGCGGCTTGAATACAAAGCCACGGTTGACTCCCGGGGAAGCTATTAAAAAAACCCTTCTTACAATCAGATGTTGTGAAATTATATACGGAAATATAATGAAGGCGTGTGTCTGTAATATCGATGTGTGTGTGTGTATACACATATATGAGATGAGAGAGAGGGAGAGAGAGAAAGGAGAGATTGTGTGTGTGTGTGTGTGTGTGTGTGTGTGAAAGGAGAGAGAGAACAAACACCGGGGAGAGACATCAGCCAAAATCCAGTCCCCAGTTTTACAGCGTGTACAGCGGGGAGATGCGGGCCGTAAACATTTTGTGGGCTTGGCGGAGACTATTACGACCCAAATAAATGCAATGTGCTGCGTGTTCACAGGACTCTGGGACGCTTCGAAAGGTTCTCTGTTTGCTTTTGCGTTTTCCCTCTGGAACCATTCGACATCCGTGGCTGATGCTCCCACCCGAGAGGAGGCCGCAGCGTGTTCCCCGCCTAGGGTCCCGGAGAGGCTGGACCTGGATTGGGGTCCCCTCCCTCTGGCCTCCTGATGGGTGAACGCCAGAGCAGCCTCGGTTCCTCTACAGCGGAGGACATGCCGAGGCTAGAGACAGCCCGGTCGGCTTCCATACCGTGTGCGACACTTTTTGTGCTACGGTGTGATTGTTATATTAAACATCACATTAAAAAAATAATCAAAGCAGTCCCTGGTTTGTCCCCCGGGATTCTCTTCCCAGTCAACTCGGCCCGGCCCCTAGACCTACAGTGGACAGACACCGAGATTGCCTTTACTCCCAATGTTCACCGCCTAATTTTACTGTCTCGATTCAAGCCAGCCGAGTCCCGGGGTCCTGGCTCTGTCTTGGGTTCTGACTCGCCGGGCCCTGACCCAGGTCGCAGGTTTCGAGGGCCTCCTGGGCGGCCGCGGGACCCGGGCCACGGTGTGCGCCCTCGGCACGCACTGTCCACACCCTCTGGGCGGTCATCAGGTCCGGGGGCTGCAGGCGTTCCTCCTGTGTCCAACAGTCAGCCGGGGCTCCCTGGAGCCTGGTTGTGTCAGGCCTGTCTCAGCTGAGGACGGTGACCCTGGAGCCGCGCCGGCGCCTGGAGCTGCTGCCCCGCGGCTGCCCGGACAGCTGCAGCCCGGCTCGCTGGGCCCTCAGGATGGGGTCAGGGAGGCGCGAGCGGTGAGGGTCGGGCAAGACCCCGCCGATTCCTTGTTTCCCAGCGAGGCTTCTAGCCAGGCGTGAGGAGCACCGAAAATATAGGGCTCCTGTTCACTAAAATCTGGGGCTCCCATTCCAGAAAGGCTCGTGTCAAGTCGACATCTTAGGAACTTCCCAGGGCTGCGGAGGCGGGAGATGGCGGCGCGGAGGCCTCTTGCATGGAGCCACACTGCCATCTGCTGGCCATCATTCGGTACTGCAGTCTCAGCTACCTCGGCCGGCCTGAGCTTTGGGAGCCGCCGGCTAGCCCACCGCCCTCCACTCCCAGAGGAGGGGCGTGGGCCTAGGTCCTGGGGAGTCTGCGTGGAGCCCGGAATCTACTGCAGAGGAGGCAATGCCAATAAAAGAGCTGTTTCCGCAGTCGCTTTATCGGCGGCAGACAGAACAAATGAACAAATGAAAGGGCTTTGGTGGAATATCCTAATTAGGGCTGGACAGTTGTAAACTCATTAAGGGACGAATTCCAGACAGTTCGCAGTCCCGGCCTTTATGGCACACTCTTACTGCCTATTCTTTGAAGTTCCTTCTGTCTGCAACAACAGAGGGCGTCCCAGCCTGGCGGCGAGGTGGGGGTGGGTGTAAGGAGACGCCTCATCCACCCGCGACCTGGTTCCCCTTTTAAACTTAGAACACATCCAACTTTGCAGAAGTCGTGGAGTGGGGGAGGGGGAAGGGCGAGAGAAGCAAGGGAGTGGAAGTGAGGCCGAACCCTCCGGCCACATCTGGAAAGCGCTTAGGCCTCCGAAGTTGTGGCCGTCCCCCCCCCCCCCCCCGCAGCCCTTTACACCCCATAAACGGTAACAGCCCTCATTTTCTTTTATGGCGCTTCGGGGCTAGTCTGTTGCCTCAGCCCTGCCTCTGTTAGGACTTGTGCTCGGGAGGGGCTTGCAGTGCAGGACCCAGATTCTCTCGGGCCAGGCTGGCAGGACGCCGCAGGAGAGGGTGGTGAGCGGTACGAGGATGCAGGGCTTTGTTCCTTTGCAAGCCCCCAAAATGTTTGCCTGCATGGCCGCGTTGGGCCGGTGGGGCTCCTATTTCCCTCTTCAGAGGCTGCTTAGAAGGCGGTCCCCAGCTCTATCCTGCCACCTTCTCCCCCTTTTCCCCACCAAGCTAACGAAGGCCCAGGGTTGGGAATTTTCTCGGGGGCACCAAGGTGAAAGAGTCGTTTTTCCACCGCTACTGGCCAGCCCAGCCCAGCTTCTCAGGGGCTTCTCGGCCGTCCCGCACATAGACACAAGGCCGGGAGCCTGGTTCCGCCGCCGGATTTCCCAGATTTTCTCGCCGCCAGGCAGCTGGCCTGTTTGGGAGAGCTTAGCTCGGCGGACTGGTTGTGGCAGGTCCCGCTCCTGAAAGCCAGCCAGAGGCAAAATTGGGGCTCTTTCTCCCCATCCCAGCCCGCCCCTACCCAGAGACTCTACACAGGCTCCCCTGACCCAGAGAAGAAGGTGCAAAGAGCAGACCCGCAAAAAATAGAAAAGAATCAATATATTTTATTTGGCAAAAAGTTAAATATCATCTCAACACAACAATTTGGTCAGTAGGCCTTGAGGTAACTATTGCAAAATATACAGTGTAGGTTCAGTCTAATGGAAACCCCAGATTCATCAAGGATACAAATCTACAGTAGCCCAGTGGCGGTTTCATAGTGTATAATTTATTATCAATAAAATTAACTCCGTTACAATCAGCATCCATTTCCTCTGATTAAGATTAAGCACAAACCCTAGGTAGTAACCTTCTGCACATATGTCTAGCTCCGAATTTCCTCACTGTTTGTCCGGTGCAAAAACAATATTCAAGCTTGTCTGATTATGTATATTTTCTTTAATTATATAGATTATATATACAATAGACAAGACAGGACTACAGATCATGGAAAGACGAAAATGCCCGCATTTTTAATGTGGAGAAAACGATGAATCTATGCATCCCCGAGAACACTTAAAAAGAATTTTTTTTATTTCACTGGGAAATCCTTACAGCTAGTTTACAATCATAGGTTAACAGCCTAGTTATACAGAAGACATATTCCACTACAGAGCTATACTCTATGCAACTGTTTTTTCCCCTCATAAACAACCTGAGTTCAAATTGAATTCTATCTTCCACAATCACAACGGGTGCATCACCCAGTACACAGAAGTTTGAGTCACAAAACATAATTACCACAATAAAACACAGT